TTAACCCCACAAAAGAAATTGACAGGGAGAAAATTTATATTCTCCCAATTTACGACAGCAATACAAATATCGTTTTACCAATGCAGTTATAATTATTGATGGTCGACGTGATTTTTACGAGACTTATCGACAAAAAACGTGTTTAATATAATATTTGTAACCTCTCGAATTTGTAGCGAAAATGTGGCGTTACATGGCATAACATAATAAAATTATTTCGTCGAAAACAAACAGCTTTTATAATATCAACCTCGAAATTGAGTAGCGGGGTCAACATAAGCAACGTGCACGAATATATAAACAATGGGCTAATGGTTTTGAACCGCATTCCGATGGCGGTTTTCAAGGGGTGTTGTCGCAAGTCATGTGTTTGCGTTCCCGGTAACGACCCTACTCTAAAGAAATCCCGAAAATTTTACTTGAAAATTCAGTCATTCAATTTCGCAGATTTTCTTATTAGCAACCAAGCATAAACTAAAAAAATAAATAAAAAAACGATTCTTTTTGTAGAGCATAATAAAAATCGTCCTTATTTCACACCTATAAAGGCCAATGTAAATATTTTTTTCAATAAAAAGCGGTTTCGTTAGTAAACCGCCATTATCTAAAGAGATTTTTTAACCGCCTACGCGCAGTACACAAACATGCGGCGCCGTATTAAATTATGACGTATCGAACCACGTGATATGACATACTAAATAAAAAATGCTGTTAAGAAACGTCATTCGACCATTCGGCCACTGTCGTTTTGATTGCTAACGAGTGCTTTGTAATTTGTAACTTTCTTGACCCAAAATGCAACGGAATTGGTATTAAGATTCTAAGATAAGGCCAGACTGTTCATCTTTTCACTATTTCGCATATAACAGTTTGAGAAACAAACAATTTTTGCAGATACACGACGTATCCATTAACCGACTGTGGCTAGGATTCGTTACCATACCTTCCGCTTCGCCTCAACCGAATCACGGGCGACGTTTATTTAAGTTGATCTGTGGTATTAGCACTGTTTGCGTCACGTTTACCTCGCTTATCAGAATTTGGTTGTATTGGAAAAATTTACAAGCATGTAACGTTGTTGTAGACGTCTCTGAGATTCAGCTGTATTTTTAGATTGGCTCTAACTCCAAGGCAAACAGAGAAAAACGGCATTTTTTCATCGGGTTTTCATAAATGTTGACCGCCTTAATCCTATAACAAACATCGACGAAAATCGGTCTACCACACGCTGTTCTATCCCACCGAAAATATATTTACACTCCGGTCAACTGAATAAACAGCGGTGATAGCCAGAAATCCCTCAAATAAAAATTTCAATGGACGTGGTACCATTCTTCAATTCACGTTTTATGTTGTTGTCATATGGGTAATACACTTAGACGGCTTTGTTGTATAGACTGTATCTCATCGCCAAAGAATTATCGCTAAATTATACTCGACCAAACGTATAACACTAGCACTCAGCCATGTTTCAAACTTGATCAAACATATACAGATGACTATATTTTGATGGGATTGGCACCCATGAGACAAAGATTTATTTGCATGTCCCGCGACAAATTCCGACATTCTCTTATCTCGGGCCCGGAGGAAGGCGCTTGACAACCAAAAATGGCGCCTGGTGGACGCAGCATTATTTGGTCATAAAATGCATTTTTTCTAATTAAATATCGCGCACTTTAATAAAATGTAAAAAATAAAAATAGATACCAATCGATGACGTATAGCGGTCAGTAAGGAACTGGCTTTTTGACCTTTTAGCGCAAAAGCTTTAACGCCTACCATTGCGACGCCTAAAACCGTTTAATGGAACAAGCGTCGCAAACAATAAAAAATTTAGTTTCAATATAGTTCAAAAAATAATCTTATTTACGTATGATTGACAGCGTTTACCCCTTATTGGCGCTCAGCGGTGGCCAATGGGATGATCTCAATTTTCGCGTAGCTTCTGGAATATTTGGTCTCAGGAATTCACATGCTGAATGTAAAATTTTAACCTATTTGAATTTTTATCAATGATTCGACAGCCGCCAAAATAAAGTAACAGTAGCAATTCAGAAATATATCAATAATCCAAGAATAAATCAAACCTAACCAAGTGAGCTATGTTCAGGCCAGCAGAGGATAAGATTCTCATATTTCTCCCGAGGAAGAGAAAAGTCGATTGGACAGCCTAATCAATGGCGAATTGCGGCCAAGTTCGCGTGAAGAAATACAGTAGTTCACTAGATAATGGTTTCATATGCATAGACTTGAACGGTGGAGGAAGCCACCAGCGACCCACTCTTGTGACACTAAGGAGTCAAGCAATCCTCTCGCACATAATTAATCCACCATGGATTTAAATCATCAAAGCCAAGGGGGAAATCAGCCGTGTAATGACATGCATATTCAGGACACTTAATAAGATGTGTATAGCGTCTTGAATAAAGCGTGTCACACTTGTCCCACACTTGTATCAATCACATTTCATATGTGTACTTAAACCATTGGCCCTCCAATACATATCTAATTAACTCAGAAGTCAGAACAGTGGGAGAAGTGGTACAAGAGTGGCAAAGTGGGACTAGTGCGTTAAAAGGAATTTTTGAGTCTATTCAATGAGATATATTTTCAAAATACTCGAAAATGTGTGTTTTCGCAACCCGACTATTTCGATTTAACGTAATGTTCATTTTGAGTGACGTCACAACATTTTCAGACGATTTATTTACGAAAACATTTCGATATTATTGTGTAAACGACCATTGGGTCACGGGGTAACGAAATTAACATACGACACAAGTTTGTACAGACCACAGTGACGCTCAGCTTGGGTTCCGAAAGTCAAAATGAAAAAGTCTCTATTATTTAAATTCCCTAGAAATGACTATATTTAATTTGTTCGAAGAATTTACCACAAATTTAATTCGAAGGGGTATAAATGTAAGGCAATTAATTACAGTCCAGCATTAGTGGAATAAAATCACATTCAGTTTTGTTCTATTTACAGAGATGTCAAGTGTACGTATAACTTCAGGATTCTGATTGCAGTAAAGACATTAATAGGTTATTAATTTTTTTTAATGTGTTGAAACAAGACACTTCGTTATAAATATTATTATTTGTGGAATAAAAAATGACGCTTATCATCAGTACATGGTAAATTAATCCTAACATATACTCGGCCGTGCATAATTCGAAGATACACGAGCATGAATATGGCGGGTATTTTTCTACCCATGCAAAATCAAGTAATTATCTACGATAGTAACTTGTATAATAGAAATTAAATGTTTGTCTGATGACAGGCGACCGATGTCAACTATTTCCTCTATTGATGAAGATATGTCTGTGACCTCTTGAAACAATTTTTACCGACTAATCTACATTGTCTGGGCAAACATTACACTGTTCAATTTAATCGATAATTTCACGTCTTGAAAACAGTATTTAACTCGAATACTTGTAGTTTTGAGTACAAAACATTTTACGACGTACTCAAAACTACGTCTTACCGCCATTTCCTCGTTGGGCATGTGAGAAATTTCAGAAGTGAAATTTCAATTTCGTATAATGTCTATTTAAATATTAAAGTGTGCTGTAAGTAAAATGTGAGTGAAAATGTGGCGCGTTAGACAATTTATCCCCATCCAGAACCTGGTGCAACTACCAGCGATCGTTGCAATGTTCCCCCTATACAGCTCAAATTTACCCCTCCAGAGGGGTAAAAATTATCCCTGCTGGGAATCCCTGATCTAGAATCTAGATAGATCAATACGACAACCCAAAAAAAGTAGGCAAAAAAAATTTGACATCAGACTACGTGGCATCATCACCAGCATATTCAAAGGGGTGCAGTCAAATTAAAAAAAATGTGACCTAGAAATTATCGCAGAGCGGAAATAAACAAAAACATCGAAAAAACGATGTTTACTTGTTGATTTCCCGCTGTCAGAGTCGCATCAATGATACAGGAAATAAATAGATTACAAAAAACTATTTGTATTTTGAATTCAAATGTTGCGTGATATGCCGTTTTGACGTACAAAGAAATACTGCTTTACGTGATTCCCTGACAATTTAAGTTGAAGCTAGCGAATTGAAAAGACTCTCGTCTTACTGATTTTGGACGTTAAACAATATATACAGGAAATTAGGAAATTTCTTATATCTGATAGCAGCAAGTCAAAATCTCGTTAGCAGAAGTGTATTATGCACCAAAGAGGGAGTTGGATTCATAGTTGCGGCGTACGAAACAGTATTTCTGCTCTAATAAATTTAGTTACAGGACATAGTAGTTTACGCATACAAAGATGGCAAATACAATTTATCTAAAATACCACTGGCAATTAACGTCTTTCAAATAATCCGGTAAATTTAATTCAAATAGTTAAGCATTACTGTGAAAAATGACAAAGAGGCGACAATCTGGCAAAATCGTTAAGCCAAAAATAACGTTAGACAAAATTATATCAACCACGCCAGATCGGGTGTCTAATTAATGGGTTGCTGTGTTCCGGCTGGATTCGAATGATGTATTATTTAAAAAACATCGTAGACCGGAATAAATAACCCGTAAATAAATAACGTGGGCGAATAACAAGACACCCTCGAAAAATGGAAAGTTACAAAAATGTAGTAAGCACGGAATGCAGCACATAAACGAATGCTATAGATCCGGTGTCTGAAGTCGAAGTTGGAAATTTTTCTGGGATTGAAGCGTAAACCAGAGTTGTGTGTTAGACTGTTGGCTTTAAAAATTAGAACTTACAAGGAGTCGAAGTTGATTTATTTATAAACTTTGCGCCGGAAAACGAAAGCAGTCGGAATTATCGTCCAATCCGCCGCCCACCACTTTTTGAACTTGAATCATTTTAAATATACATCAGCATGATGACAGCGCGACAGAGTAGAAAACATTTTTATTATCGTTTAGTTGTCAAGCGTCGTAATCTTCTCAATTACTTAACGTAACCTTGCTTTTTGTCTAGAATTGAAAAAAAAAAACATTAACATACCTTAATATAGCTCGATAACAAACTGCTGCTGGCTTCTTGTTCCAACATTTCCAGATTAGTAGGGTTGTCATGGCAACATGCAATCAAGGTTGGGAACAGGATATTGGATAATCTGGGATTGCTGAAGTACGAAAATGGTAAGACACACAGTTGTTGAAGAACGGTCGGCATTGCACCTGAATGTATCGTGTCCTGAAATGACAAGAAAATAATCATGTTTTTCTGAATCTGTTCCAAATATGAATCATAGTATCTAAGTTTATTAAGTATTATATCCCGACCCAGAACCTAAAACCATGAATCCCTCTCCACATACCTAGCTCAACCGTTTGCCCACAATATATATCTACCCTATTCCCGAGCATCGAGGAAAGCATGAGAAAAATGGGACAAGTGTGGCAAGTGTGCTAACCGTTATCCACAACTCACAAAAATAATGCATAGATAAATCATAGTTCGGGCCGCGCGTATTCAAATGAAAGCAATGGTTCAAAGACTTTGAAAGATGTTACTATATATACATTAAAAAGAATAGAAATTTGAACACCGGTGTAGATATATGAATCATCCGACAAAACTGAAACATGAGGATGAACATGAATAGTTATAAGGGTGAATGATTGAGGCATTGGGGTCAAGACACGAAGCTTTGTCATCACTCATTTTGACGAAAAATTGAAATCTTTTTTAGTACATAAGATCGGTATTTCAATATAATTTTAAATTCACGTTCAATTTTGCATGACATTAACACCAGGTGAAAATCAATCTCATGTGCGTTTCTCCTACGATTTAAAAAAGAAATTATTGAAAAACTACTCCACGCGAGGTACGGTAAAAAGAACTTGAAAGTATTGGAATGATAATAGTTCTTCGTAGATAAATGTTACCAAAAATCCACCATTGAGGTCAAATGTCACCAAACAGCCCTTCCGGGAAAAACAATACAGTCATATTATTACCGTTACAGTATTGCCCATATACCAAGTTCGATGACCAACATACAAAAACAACGTAAGCCAAACTCGCCGCGTCGGTGTAAGATAAAACCAAAGAATAGGATAGTGTTCCGGTATAAAAATAGAACACCCAGAGGCAACGAGATTGTGCGAAAAGAAGGCTGGACAAATCTCACGCGTTACTTGTCAACTGACCAACACCAGAACGTAAACTAAGCTTCGTGGGTATCGGTAACTTAGGCCTAATCCCGATATGCGACATGAACGCTCTCACAAGCCCAGTGTGAATGATTTAAAGCAGGGATAATCAGGGGTGTGCAACCTTTAATACAGGAGGGCCAGATACAAGTAAATGGTTGACACCGCGGGCCGCACGGTATTTAACATAGGCTTTCTGGTCGTTGCAGGCACAAAAATTTTGGTCATCTCATTGATCTTATGACATGCGTTGTTCACCTCGTACAAGCTTGTTTCGGCATTGTAACGTCATATATGCATAAATTAGACTTTGTTATTGGCTTTGCATCGCAAAGGGATTGGGATTACTTGCACGTTCCTGATTAAACTAAAGTAAAAACCCGTTTCGCGGGCAGCACACCATTCAAAATTGGCATTTCTCCGTGAATTTTATGCTACATTATTACAGTGCTTGTGCAAATAGGGCACATTTAGTAATGACAAATTACGAAAAAAATGACAAAATGACAAAATTTCAGACGAGCGTACGAAGTAGGTATAAAATTTGGTGAGTAGCGTGTTCTTTTAAAGCTACCCCTTTCTCGCTACCCACTACCCAAATTGTTAACTGGTATAAATGTATAATTAGTGAACACGAAAATCTTGCATCGTACTTCCACAAATTTATTTCCGAAAATCACACTTTCTCAGACAAGCAGTTGAGAAACTAGAAGTATTTAGATACTGACGGAACAAGTCAATGAGTGCAAAAACCTCATTCACGGTAACTATAGAAGAGCATTCAAAAAATATTTTGAAATAATATTTTATGCCCTTTGTCACAATTTAGTTGCTTAGTATATGGAGGGTATTTTATTTTGTATAGCATATCTTTTGAAACCAAATCTTATAAAAACATAGCATATGACTCATTGGCTGGGACATTTTCAGGCCAATGTAACGATATCTCCCACAGCTGGTCACAAAATCATTCCAAATTATTTTGCGGAATTTGCGTTCAGTAGGATTTAGGGTAATGTAATATCCCGCGGTTAGCGTACCGGCAATAGGTTACGAAAATTCATTACCGGCGCGGTAAAGCTATGTTTTCTTTTTGGCGTAATCCGTCTTGATCTGGGACAGACAGAAATTTAAATGTTGGTGTAGCGTACAGGTGTTTGGTCCCAAACTATAAGAATAAATAATACAATGTATACAAAAGCGAAAATTGTTTAAAATGCCGTTAAAAACTTACAGACTATTGACTAAAATTTAAGACATTACCAATTGGGATATAAAAGCGGTTTGAATCAAACCAATTTGGAATATTTTAAAATCATAGGAAATTACAAAAAGTAAATTTGGACGCGTATAAAAACATTCTCTTTTCATCACGATCATAGACGGTTGTAAGTCATGCAACGTCTTCCGGGTAGGGTTCAAGCGTAAATTAGAATTGATTCCACATAAAAACGTTCTACCGGTAGCTTCTAATGTTTCGCGAATGAACAGTATTCATACCTGTGGATCGTTCTGCTCATGAACTAATCAACCAAACGCTTTAATTTTCAGTACCTAAATATTTAAGACGATTTCTTTTATTAAAATACCCTGGGAGTCCTACAGGGCCCGATATTTTACCAAAAATTGTATTTTTTTAATTAAGAGGAAATACTCTTTATTCCGAATTGTTCAAACTCTTCCGCATTGCTCGACCGACGACCTTATTTTAGCAAACTCGTTGATCCCTGGCCCTGCCGTACTGGTACCGATGCGCGGACCTTTCTTGTTACGTATTAGAATGTCATATAACCTATTGGTGATTAACATGAACTATAGCATTAAGGTTTGCAATTCATGTCTCCGTTGAATATTACGTAAAATATGAAACAAATCAATACTTTCGGACATAAATGGAAACCCCCACAGCAAAAACAGCTTTTCATAAGTACTCTCTTAAAATATACATTTTGAAGTATCGACATTACAAAATTTCGCTCAAACTCAACTCTTCGAACGAAAGGTCGTGTATTCCGAGTTTGCGCAAAAGTTTAAATTATCAAAATTTAATTTTGACCGGGGTTCGGAGTCGCAGTCGAGATTTCCATCAATCTGGCATTTTTTCAACTCGGAGTTGGAGTCGATTGCAAATGTTACCACAACCATCCTTAATATGCGAGTTATGTGAAATTAATGTGAAACTTATAAAAGTTATAAATATTCACCGACTCCACAACCTTGCAGTTAGACCACCCCTAAAATGTGAAAATAATGTGAAACTTGTGAAAGTTACTAGAAAATGTATGTGAAAATTATAGATACTACACAAACTTGCAGTTCGACCATCCCTAATATGTGAAAATAATGTGAAACTTGTGAAAGTTACTAGAAAATGTATGTGAAAATTATAGATACTACACAAACTTGCAGTTCGACCATCCCTAATATGTGAAAATAATGTGAAACTTGTGAAAGTTACTAGAAAATGTATGTGAAAATTATAGATACTACACAAACTTGCAGTTCGACCATCCCTAATATGTGAAACCTTCAAGTTTAAGTTATAGAAAGTTCCAAAGTATAGAAGACAAAACAATGCCATGTTTATTCCGACCAACAAACATCGAGGATAATAATAAATTCTACATACAAAGGGTACAGTTGTATTAAACAACAAGACAAAATTAGGAAATATTGTGAGCGGAAATAGCGTTAACCAAACTAAATCAAAACAAGCAACTGTCATTTCTTCTCAATAAAATACAATCAAAATCAAGTCATGTTACGTTATAAATGAACACAATTCGTACAATGACAGAAAATTTTTTACCTCGTTCACGTTTGGTCAAGTAAGATATTTCTGCCATGTCAAAGTCACAATGAGGTTATGACCGCAAAGAACAGAATCGCTTTCAGTTTCATCCAGATTGTAATAGGCGAAAGGAAGGAATTCCAGCGAACCTTGATACAAACATAGCAATGGAATCCCCGATTCTAGCCTTTGAAGTTAGTCCATGCTCGTAGATTCGTATTTGTAACAGGACAGGAGATTTCGTAGGCGGACAACGTTTATTGTCTTCTTTTCAAGCAAATATCAACAAAATGAGATTATAAAGAAGTAAGATATTTCATTTGTATTTTATTTGGACCGAGTGTGAATCATACATAAAATTGAGAACTCTTATATCGAAATCAAAAATGAATAAACTCGATTGTTGATTTCGATCAACTTGTGTGGGATTTGGCGCATTTAATGTTAATTTTATCCCTGGACCATGCCTGACACGTATGTTTCGATACCGACAAATTATCTCTTGTGATGTGTGACATCTGACCTCTGGAATTTGACTTTCGATTTCGTTTGTAGCAAAATTCGAACGCAGGAAACGTGAAGAAAAACAATGACTTGACCTGAAATTATCAACTCACGATCACGAATAGCTGGCATAAATCATTTTAACAGTGCCTCAAAAATTTTGTGTCGCTATCCCGCATCACTGGCAGAAGGTTAGAGCATTCGTATAAGTGAGATCATGCCAGTGCTGGGGGGTCGGATCTGGAGCCATGGAGTCACGACAGTTGGAGCTATCACCAATTTCAGTGACTGCGGATCCTAACCATCTAATTATTTTTTCAAATTTATAATTTTAAAATATTATGATTGATACCTAATACAAATAATAAAATCTATTTTTTTTAGCTCATAATTTTTTTTTTTTAATTCCATTTCCTAATATTATATGAATCCATACTATCATAGTTTTGAGTCCCAATTCAACAAAACTGCAATCAGGCTGATTTTTCATGCTTGTGTGACCCAAAAAGCTCGAAAACCGCCATGGATATGGAGCCGGCGCCCAGATCTGACATAAAAAAATGGAGCTCCAGAGCCGGAGTCAGCTTCACATAAAAAATGAAGCTCCGGAGCCGGCACCCAGCTCCGAGATAACAAATGAAGCTCAGGAGCCGGATCCATCGTGATTTCGTACCAGCACCTCAGCCCTGACTCATGTAATTGATACAAGTGAGGAACAAGCGTGACAAGTGCACGACGAG